GTAGGCCTAGGGCCTGGGCTCTACTGAGCAAAGCAGTGGATACAACACAATGCCACACACTTTCCAATTTAAAGGAGCTGCTGTATTATTCAAGGATTTCCCAAGCATTGCTGTCCCAGTGGTACGAGTTGGAAACCTTTTCAGGAATCAACCCCCTTGTCCACCCCCAAGAGTGGTCTGCTGTGCATCTTTCCTTAGAGACTTCCTTCAAGTGGCTTCTAGCCTTATCACAGCCAAAGTCCCCCTTACCCTGCTGCCACCTCCACCACAGTTCCCATGTTTTGAAATAGTTTTATCTACATAATCATTTGAATTATCCTTATTTTTCACAGATCAAAAACATAACTGGCTGGATAGGGTGGCTCATGCCTATAACCCCAGCACTTTAGGAGGCTGAGGTGGGAAGTTTACTTGAGGCCAGGAGTTTGAGAACAGCTTGGGCAATATAGCGAGACCCCACCTCTACAAAAAAATAAAAATTTGCTGGATGTGGTGATACATGCCTGTAGTCCTAGCTGCTTAGAAGGCCAAGGCAGGATGATGGCCTAAGCCCAGGAGTTCAAGGGTACAGTGAGCTATGATTACACCATTGCACTCAGCTTGGGCAACAGAGGGAGACCATGATGGCTTATGTCTGTAATCCTAGCACTCTAAGAGGCTGAGGCAGGAGAATCGCTTGAGCCCAGGAGTTTGAGGTTGCTGTGATGCCACTGCACTCTAGCCTGGGTGACAGAGTGAGACCCTGCCTCAAAAAAATAAATAAAAATGAAGGGCTGTTGAAGAATGCATCCCAGCAAAGGCAGCCTAGCGGGGAACATTTCCAGGTCTTCCATATTGCTACACAGAACAACAGGGCTTGCTGCACTTTAATTCAGTGTGTTTTCTTAAATCTATCAAATGACCTTGGCATCTCCTTACTACTCACCTGCACCGATGAGGTTTGAGAGGAGCTGCAGGTTATGAACTGGAGCACCTTTGTGGCTTCCCACATAACAACAGTTGGAGTAAGTCAATTCCACAAGCTGGGGCAGTGTTTATTTTTTTAACTTTGGGGGGGTGGGTCACAGACCTACCTGAGAATGTATAGAAGCTGTGCTCACTTTCCCCAGAAAGGTACACATAGCTTGAGATTTTGTACCCCACTCACCATTTTAGGGGTTTTATGAACTCTGGAAGCTTCTCCATATAACCCAAGTTAAGAACGCTTGCTTTGAGGTTCTGGATTAGTCCAGAGCTGCGAGGTTGTGTCCGTCACCAGGTCAGCTCCACCTAGGTTGTCCTGGCATTTGGTTTGACAAGTTGGGCCCAGAGTAAACCTTCCTGTTTAGCTATGAAGTGAAGCAACTGAAGAATCCCAGGGCAGGTGTCAAGGCCCCTGAAGCTGCTCTTGGCTCCAGAGAGATCCTGCAGCCTAAGATCCAGCTGTTTGCACAATTGTCCAAGCACAAGGCTGAGGAATTTCTGCTAACTCCTTCCTTCCAGCAGGCCTAAGTACAATGGGGTTACAGGAGACCAGTTGGTAAGGATGCAGGAAGTTAGTATCACTAAGGTTTATAATACCTGATCTGGGAGATTGAATAGACCAGAAAGAAAATTGAACCCTGCTAAGAGAAAGGAAGCCTGGATTGGTGAGTTGCCATGCCTGACTTGTTTATGGACCATAAGGGATCTCAGAGATCATCTGGTCCAAACTCTCTTGTCCTGCTGTTGAGGGAACTGACCCAAAGCCACAGAGCTGGCTGAGGAAGAGCAGCCTTCACTGGCCACCCACCCTCACTAGGAAGGCCCTGCGATTGACAGGAGGCACCATTCTTGCAGTTAGCATACCCACCATGTGGGGGCGCCCGCAATCTCCTACTCTTCCCTTGCAGCCTCCAGTGTAGCCTGAGTTTTCAAGCTGTCAATCTGGGACCAGCCCCCAAATTCTGCTAACAAAAAACACCCACATTGGGCACTACTGCATGTGAGACACTGCTAGTAGCTTCATATAGTCACAGAAAATATTAATATCCACACATTCTCCCAATTATGTTTTTCACACAAAGATATGGCCCATGGATTTTAAGTCACTTGTTGAAGGTCAAAGAGCTAAGTGCAAATAGGGATTCAAACCACAGCTATTTGACTCCAGAATCTGGGCTGTCACACCTCACTCATCCCTGCCTTTCCTAAAGAGCAGAAATCTACAAGCTGGGGAGCCCTGCACAGCCTGAGTCTAGAGTCTTTCAGTGTCCTAGAAGTTCAGAAGAAACCTTGGTTCCAAATTCTCCCCACTTGAACATGATGAAAGAAGGATGTAGAGCCATTGAGGAATAGGGCTTGCTATCCTTGGCCACATGCCCAAAAAAGAGGGGCAACTGGAAGAGACCCTGGAGCCTCACTTAGTCGAAAATGCTCTCTAGATGCCTCTAGAGCCATATGAGCCCTCTGGTGGGCTGCGGAATCCGACAACCTTCAGCGGCGATTTGATTCCTCCCTGAGTCCTACTGCTTTTCTCTTTCACTCTCTTTCTTGCTTTCTTTGTGGTGGTTGTATTTTAATCTATTTCCATGTGCATTAAACTCTATCCCTGCTGGAGAAGCCGGGAGCACTTCGCTCCATGGCCCTTAGAAAGCTGGTCACTGACCCACATGGTGCTGGAGCCCAGACTCCTCCGGATTTGGGGGCTACCCGAATCCTGGAGGCAGAAAAATAATTATTACTACAATGTATAGTTATTGCATATGCCAGGCCCAGTGCTAAGTGATGTATGTGAATCATCTCAGTACATCCCACAGTAACCCAATGAGGTAGGCATTGCACTCCACATTACAGATGAAGAACCTGAGGTACAGGAAGGTTAAGTTACTGGTTCAGGCTCTCTCAGCTGTAGGTGGAATTTGGACCCAGGCAGTATGGGGTGGGAGCTGTGTTCTTAGCCACTACTCTACAGTTACTCTTCCAGCTACTTGCCTTTTCCAGGCAGATTCCCCAGCCTTATTGTCTAAGAGCAATGATTGCATATGTTTGCACAACACTTTACAGTTTAAGTGTATTTCCTAAAAAGTCATTTAATCATTCATTCAACACATATTTCTCGGGTCCTTATCAACTGCTGAGCACTGTGCTCTAAGTCTTTGCTGCTCCAAATGTGGTTCCTGGGCAAGCATCTCCTGGGAGCTTGGTGGAAAGGCACTATCTCAGGCCACATTACAGACCTCAGTCAGAAATCTGCACTTATACAAGGTTCCCAGGTGATTCATATGCTCCGGAAAGTTTGAGAAGTGTGGTTTTATAATATTTCTACAATACCACCAAATAGATATCCCAGTTAATGAATGGATTCTGAGATACTGTGACTTGCTTGTATTCCTACAGTTAATAAATAATCAGATCATATATGTAAAGAGCTCACAACAGTGTCTTGCACATAGTATGTGCTTGATAAACAATAGCTATAATTATAAATGACAGAGCCAAGCTGTGAACCATATGGTATCTCAATGACATAGCCCATTGGCCTCAGAAGAGCCCTCTTAGGTACCAGGTATTCCATCCCACCAGGTGAGGGAAGGAGTGTAGCTATGGCTTCCCTCCCAGCTCAGACAGTCTGCAGGATGGAGAGCTCAGGAGAGCTCAGGGCTCCAGAAGCCACCATTAGGGTAAGCCTGATCCCACGACAGGAGAATCCTGTGGTGAGGATGTTATTCTACAGAAAGGCTAGATATGAAGAGGGAGACCAGAGGCTTTCTAAGGGATCCCTCCTGCAAACTCCATGCCCTCAACCTCACTCCTCTGCCTCCAGGATCCCTTTATGTGCAGGATGCCTTCAGTAGGTGGGCACTTGGGAAGGCCACTTGTACACTCCCTCTCAATCGACAGGACACAGCCATGTCTCTAAGGACTAGTTAGGTTTGTCTTCTGTGCCGGCCATGTCCTGCCCAGGGCCCCCTCAGCGAGGGTCCATAGTGACTGCCATTCTGGACGTTTCTTGAGCACCTCCTCCGACAGTTTCCCAAACTTCCCTGCTGATCTCCTGGAAAGCGTTGGCTCCTGGATCCTTATCCTCCTTGGAGAACTAACAACAATGGAACATTATTTGTCTTTAAATAGCCTATTATTTTGTCTCTTTTATTCTTAGAAATAAAAATTTAATACACAAACATTTTAAAGCAAAATTTGCTTACAGTAAAAATTCAAATAATAATATTCAAATAATATAAAGCAAAAAAATTCCATTTTCAAAAAGCTTCATAAGAATTTTGAGCACCTGTTTCCTTTGGGCCAACTGAAAGTTCCTTTCGCCTGAACCACCCAAAAGTTCTCCCATTCAGACACCCATCGACTTTTCTCTGAAAATGCCTCTGTGAGGCAATAAATAAAGAGTGTCGGCTCCGCGGTGGTGGCTCACGCCTGTAATCCTAGCACTCTAGGAGGCCAAGGCGGGAGGATTGCTTGAGGTCAGGAGTTCGAAACCAGCCTGAGCAAGAGCGAGACCCCGGCTCTACTATAAATAGAAAGAAATTAATTGGCCAACTAATATATATACAAAAAATTAGTCGGGCATGGTGGTGGGCATGCTGTTAAGTTTCCCCAGCCCCCCTTTAAACCTTGGGGGAGGCTGAGGCAGGAGGATCGCTGAGCCCAGGAGTTTGAGGTTGCTGTGAGCTAGGCTGACACCACGGCACTCACTCTAGCCTGGGCAACACAGTGAGACTCTGTCTCAAAAAAATAAATAAATAAAGAGCGTCTTTAGTGCCAGCCCCCGTCCTTCTGATCCAGTTTTCCCTCCTGAGCCTTCCCCGTTTCCAGCGCCCCCTTGCAGGAGGAGGCTGCACCCCCGGGACAGAGCTCCACGTCCACGCCCGAGGGAGGGGCCCGCACGCTCACCCTTCCCCTCCCACCCACCGGCCGGAGACGAGCCCCATCCGGCCAGCCCTCCGGGACAACGCGCCCCGCCCTCTGGGGCAGAGGAGGAGCCCCGAAGCCCCGCCCGCCGTGGCGGCCCCGCCCCCCGCTCTGTCGGGGAGGCGCGGCTGGGCGCGGGCTGTGGCGCCGGTCCCTCCTGGCTGCCGAGTCCGCCGCGCGTCGGTGCTGGGCCTGGGCCGGCCGAGGACCGCAGACCCGAGCCGGTGAGTCCAGCCGCCCGCCCCTCCCGTGGGCCTCGCGGCCTCGCGGCGGCGGCATGGGGAGAGGGCGCGGGGAGGCGCCAGGCCCTGGGCCCCGCTCGGCCGTGCGCGGACGCTCCCCGGACCTCGCGGCCCGCGCGCCAGGCGGGTGCACCTTGTCACGAGTTTTTTTTATCTTGAAAACTCAATTACAGAAAAATTAAGCGTCTCTTAAGGGCGCCCGCACCCCTGGTGGAATTGTCTTTTGCCTGTTTATCATGGTGCCTCCCCAGTCGCTCCTGGGAGGCCCCGGTGACCCACAGTCCAGTCTCTGCGCCCCCAGGAAGCACTGGGAAAATCAGTCATTTTAGACGCTCCTCTGGGAGTAGAGACCTTGGGAGAGGACAGTGGCGACGACTCTGTACCCGCAAGCCCGCCACCCAGCCTGGCCACTGTAACCCCGGCTCAGGCATGGGCAGGAGGCGGCACGGCGGCCCCATCCAATGCCAGGCGCCTTCCGCTTCTCGCCTTTTAAGGCTGTTCTAGGGGCAGCTTCCTACTGTCCAGGTCCCTTAAAATACCTAAAAAGACATGTGCACGTGTCGGGAGATTTTTAGGTACTTGGTGCATTCCGGAGGGAGGCGTTTCCAGAAGCTTCCTCCCTAGGAGAGCATCCAGGCTCAGAGAACTGATTAAGGTCAGCTGTGTCTGGTGTCAGGCTTCCCTCAAGTGTCTTGAGAGTGTGCTTAGGGGAAACGTTACCCCGGTTCAGCGAATCTAAGGCACCATGGAATATAAGGTACACGTTTTTGAATGTGCTGCTAAGTGAAACTGTGAGAATGCATACATGGTAAGAGGCATCCTCATTTCTGAGATTTAAAAAATAGTTTTAAATGTGTTTTTTAGAATCCCTGAAATACCACCATGCCAAGTACCTAATTTTTTTTCAGTTGGCACCGTACCAGAGTCTTATGCTGGTGTGGGAACAGGTGGTTAGCAGTGTGCCCTGGCTAAGGCTGGGGCGCTCCTGTGCCGGGTCAGCTGGTTGCAGGCCATGCAGACTGTCTCGTACAGGTGGCTCTCAGTGGCCTGTGATGATTAGGGGCAGAGAGAGAAGGCATCATGGGTAACCCTCTATCAGTGTTAAAGTGGAACCACAGCTGTTTTTCAGTTATCGGGTGGTTAAGCTGGACCAGCGTGGCTGGGAGGTCTGCACTTGTGATTCTGAGCTCTGTCCATATTGGTCATCTCATGCAGGTCTCTCCTGCTCCAGGGGTGGTCCTGGGAACGCCCTGCCCACATCTGTGTCTCTGTCCCTTTTGGCCTTCTCCACCTTGGTCCCCTGCCACAGGATCAAAGTGGATGATGCCCATGATATGACACCTAGCACACTGTTGGTGCTTAATAACTGCTGCATGAAGAAAGGCCAGAAGGGCTTGGAAAGGGAAACCGTTCTTGCGAAGTTGGCCACACCCTGCTGTAGCTAGTCCTCTGTGATCTGAACCCCCCTCAACCCCTGCCCCCGTCCCAGCCACGCTCCCTTTTGGGCCATATATGCTCCCAAAGTTGGTGGCAAACGTGGCTGCTTGGAGCTTGGCACCCGTCAGAAACACAAGAGAGGAACTAGCTAAGACTGTGGCCTCTTTTGCTCATTTCTACCTGCAGGGATGCCAGAAGGGCCGTCTGTGAGGAAATTCCACCATTTGGTGTCCTCCTTTGTGGGCCAGCAGGTAGTCAAGACAGGGGGCAGCAGTAAGAAGCTTCACCCTGATGGCTTCCAGGCACTGTGGCTGCAGGACGCCCAGGTGAGTGCATCTTCTCTGTGGGAGCAGGGCTGGCACCTCTCCTGGAATCTGCCCCAGACATGTCAGGCTGGCACTTTCCTGAGCCCAACCTACCCAAGCTGGGACTCCAGCGCAGCTCTGCCTTTCAGTCTGATGTTTCTCAGCTCAGCTGTGGTACTGTAAAGAACACGTGTGTGTGAGCTGGAGACCCCCTTGAGAGGATCTGCAGGGATTCCGTTTTCTCCAGCTGCATCTGATGTGCACCTTGGCTGGGAACCATGTTTGAGCCCACAGGGCCAGCCACCAGGAGGGAAGGAAGGAGGCATAGAGCCTTTGGGTGTAGGTTCAAACTCGCTGACATTTGCCCTGGGCAGGAGTTGGAATCCCTTCAAGGGGCTCTTGTGGTCTGACCCCTGCCTACCCCTGCAGCCTTCTTGTCCTGCCCCAAATCTGTCACTAAAAGTCTTTTTGCCTATGGTTTTGACACGCTGCTCCCCTGCTTGGGCAGGTCTTTTTCTCCCAACTCTGCCCCCATCGCTGTCCTCTCAGTGTACCACAGCAACTCCTAGTCTTTCTTGTGGCTTCTGCTTAGCCATCATGTCCTCTGAGAAGCCTACTCTGCCTGCTTCGGGGGGTTGGGGGGGAGAGACCCCACCTCTGTGCTTCCAGGGCATTCTGCTGTTGCACCCTTATTGCTGAACTGTCCTGCCTGTTGAGTGGAGGAGACAGATGAACAGGGCAGAGCTGTATTGTATCCCTAGCACTTAGCTGAGTACCTGGCAGGTAGAAGGCACTGGGAAATATTTGGACAGTAACTCAGTGGGCTCTGCTGCTGCTTAGCTGTGTGCTCTTAAGCAAGTTACTTAATCTCTGAGCTCTAGTGTAAATTGTGACTTCTCTTATGGCTGCCATTTTTATCAAGTCCAATTTGTGTGTACACATGCTGGTTATTTCTAGCATGGAAAAACATTATGAATTGAATGAAAAAAATGACAGTTTGTATTTATTTCTTAGCTAATCCATGAAAAGTTGGGAGTAATTCCTCTAGGGTGGCCCTGCTATCTAGCACGAGTCTATTTCATTGCTAACTAATTTTTCCACTTACTTCCAGTCACTTGGAAAACCGTGTACTAACTACTCACACCACTGGAGCAAAAGAGCAAAATATTAGCAGGGCCCGAAGCCTCAACTTGGGAAAGCTTCATGGGAGAGGCGAGAAGGAAGAAATTTGCAATAGGATAAATGTCTGCACACACCCCACGTCCCCTTTCTGAGTCTATAAGGCTTAGATCCATATTCATTTTTTTTCTAGGTCCATGGAAAGAAATTATTTCTAAGATTTGATCCAGATGAAGAAATGGGGCGCCCTGGTAACAACCACCCAGTGCTAGAGAGTCCATGCAGAGGAGCACAGGGGGAAGGGGCCGCCGACCAGAAGCAGGCCTCGTGGCCCCATGGACCCAAGATCTCTGATGGAGCCTTTCATTCTGCAGAGCTCGTTGTTCTCCAAGGAGGTGATGGCCCTGTGTGTTTGAGGGGAGACACCCCTGCAGGAGGAGCGGAGAGGTGGCTGCAGGTCAGATTTGGTTTGTTTGGCAGTGTTTGGGTGAACGAGTTCTCTAGAGCCAAGAAAGCCAACAAGAGAGGCGATTGGAAGGATCCTGTTCCAAGGTAATGGTGTGACCGTCTGGGTCCTTGCGGGGTCTGTGGTGTTCATGTGGCCCTAGGCTGTGGGGTCAAACTCAGGAGGATATCCAACCTGCTCCCTAGAACCCTGTTGTCTAGGAGAGAGAAACTGCTTGTGTACCAGCCGATGATAGAATGTAGACTGAACAGTCTGTACCCTGGGGTAACTTGGAGAAGGGAGAACTTTCCCAACAAATGTAGCACTTTTGGGGTGGAAGGTGTCTGAAGAGCACTTTATGGCTTGACTAGTGTGTCCTAAATTTAGGGGCAGGATTTTACCAGTTTTTAATGTATGAATGTTGAGAACAATATTTTTGTGTATCAGACTTTATGTTTAGGGTTGATTGCCAGAGGAGTAATTGATGGTCGAAGAGAATGAACATTCTTACAGCTGCGCCTTTCTGTGGCCGTACTGAAGTGCTAGCTTAGCTGGCTTCTCACGTGAAAAGGAAAAGAAGAATTCTTTCCTAACACTTGCATTACAGTTCTCAGTTGCTCAGAATCACAGTCCAATTAGATCTTATCATACATGTTATAAAACCCAGTGCTGCTTGTTATCTCTTGTTCTTTTCATCTCTCTCATATTGAGATCCCTGTTGATTTCTGTTGCCTATGTATTTTCTCTTGAGTAATCATGTCAGATCTGATGCATAGATATTCCTCTCAGTCCCTGCTCAGCTAAAGTAGACCTTTTATTTTCATTTGAGAACACAACTAAGGCCAGACACGGAGATCTAGGGTTTCTTCTCCGTCAGATGTGGGGTCCAGTTCCAGTCTGATGGTTTTCCTTACAAAGTAGCCCATTATTTCTCTATCAAAGTTTGTGAGGTTTCTGCTTTGTCCTTGGCAATCAGGAAGCTCATGGAAGTATATGCAGTTGTGTCTTTCTTGATAAATGTTGCCTGGGACTGGGTGTGGTGGCTCCTTAGGCTCAATATTTCTGTTTTCCTTCCTAATGTGCCCTGTTTTTGTTCAGGTAGCCACATGTCCTGACCTATATAGACTTTTCTGTGTTTTCCAAATTTTCTTTTGTGAACATGTATTGCTGTAGTCATGTATGTATATATATTTTTTAATGGTTCCATTTAGTTCTGAGATGTTTATGTTTGGCAGAGCCATCTCTTTTCTCTTATGGGCACTTAGCTTCCCCAGGTTAATCGCGGCTGCAGTGTAGAAGCTGCGCACATGTGTGATGTGATGATAAATGCTAGCTGCATGGGCATCTGACCTTACAGTGGAAGCTGTATGTATTTGTGGTCTGATGATAAATGCTTTGTGTGTACATATGACTTGGCTATACAATGGCAGCGGTACAGATACTCCTTGACTTACAATGGAGTTATTTCCCAGTGAAGCCATTGTAAGTTGAAAACACGGACATCAAAAACGCATCAAATACACCTAACCTAGCAAACATCATAGCTAACTTAGCCCAGCCTACCTTACATGTGCTCAGAGCATTTACATTAGTCTACAGTTAGAGAAATCATCTAACACAAGGCCTATTTTATAATAAAGTTGGATATCTCATATAATTTATTGAATACTGTGCTGAAAATGAAAAACAGAATGACTCTATGAGTATTCCAAGTATGGTTTCTACTGAGTGTGTGCCACTTTTTTACCACTGGAAAGTCAAAACATAGTAAGTGGAACCGTTGTAAGTCATGGGTCATATGTGTGATCGGACTTCAGAGTGCAGTCTGTACATATGTATGATCTGATTGTGTTGTGCTAACTGTGCGTACATGTGATCTGTTCTGTCTTCCCAGGTTGATCCTGCATTTTGGTGGTGGTGGCTTCCTGGTATTTTATAATTGTCAGATGTCTTGGAGCTCTTCCCCAGTAGTCACACCCACCTGTGACATCTTGTCTGAGAAGTTCCATCGAGGACAAGCCTTGGAAGCCTTGGGCCAGGCTCAGCCTGTCTGCTATACACTGTTGGATCAGAGACACTTCTCAGGGTTAGGTATGGCTAATGGGGTGGAAAGGAGCCCCACAGAGTTGCTTAAAGGAAAAATCATTTGTCTGAGAGTGACAAGACCCCTCTCTATGTAACAGGCATTATGCTTGGCATTGTAAATAATAACAGTTCATATGTATCAAGCGCTCTCTATGTAGCCTCTATGCTTAGCATTTTTAGTGAATTCTTATTTGTTGCTCATAAAAACCAGGTCAGCTGTCTCCATTTAATAGATAGGGAAAGGGAAGCATGAAGTGACCAAGGAGCTTGCCAGGGTCATATTGGAAAATCTGGTGGGATTAGGATTTAAGTCCAGTCAGGTGCCCGAGCCCTTTTTGATAACCTCCTTGCTGTGACAACGGGCTGTGTGTGAGCTTTATTTCACTTCACAACAACCTTAAAGGGGAGAATGATCAAACCCATTTTACAGACAGGGAAGTGGACTCAGATTGCTGACTTGTCCGGGACCCTCCAGGACAAGGCAGAGCTGACTCCGGGTCTTCCTGCAGTGCCTCCCTGCTGCTGTTAACTTATTGGATGCGTGCCCTGTTTCCTTCCCTTATCCTCTCCCTGCTTGCTTTCAGGGAACATCATTAAGAACGAAGCCTTATATAAAGCAGGGATCCACCCGCTGGCTCTCGGTTCTCTCCTGAGTCCCTCACGTCTGGAGGCCCTCGTGGACCACGTGGTGGAGTTCAGTACAGACTGGCTTCAGGGCAAGCTCCAGGGCAAACAAAAGCACACACAGATCTACCAGAAAGAACATTGCCCCGCCGGGCACCAGGTCATGAAGAAGGCGCTTGGGCCACCCAGTGGGTTCCAGAGGCTCACCTGGTGGTGCCCACACTGTCAGCCCCAGTTGTCCTCCGAGGGGCCAGAGCAGTCCCAGCTCTCCGAAGGCGTTAAGGACTCTCTGCATGGAACCTTGCCCTTTGGTGACCGTGACGCCTGAGTGTTTGGAAAGGAGAGAGTGGCCAGGGAGTGGGGCTGTGTGCAGAGGACAGGGTGGGTCGGGGGTGTCAGCACTGTTGATATTCATCTTACTGGAGTGGTGTCTAAGGCAGAGTTTTCAGAAGGTTAGATTTTTTCCCTTTTCTAGTTCAGTTAATTCTTCCTAATTCTACTGTGAGAAAAACCACAACACTAGGTGAAGGGCAAAACCTCCCTTCCCGGAGACAATGGGCCAATGAAAATGAAAGCCTCAGGGAAATTGCTGTGCTCCTAGCATTGCTTTGCAGGTGTTGTGTTTTGTTTCTGAAACTTTGATTGACTTGAAGGCCCTCCAGTATGAGAAATAGGAAAGTAGGATTTTTTCTTTGTTTCTGGAGAGCGATCCAGGGATGCGGGCCTGCCTGGATCCTTCCCCCTGGACAGAGACACTAAGGGGCTGAGGGGCGAGGAGCTGGCTGCCTCCTGGTGTGACCAGTGGCCTTTATGGAAAAGCTGCTTGTTTAGTCCTTAAGTTGATATATTTGTGACTATTGATATGTTGAACAATTCAGAAATCGAGGGTTGTAGAGAAACACTTCTCTCATGTTGTTGGCAACTGCTAGATAAAACTAGTACAGACACATGAATATAAAGGTTTTTGTTATTTTCTGTTGTCATCTTTATTTGTCAGTAAAGGGTCATAACACATTGCCATGTGAATTGTATTTAAAATCAGGCTAGTTTTGGGCCTGGGGCCTCATGAAGCAAAACCTTGTGGTTGGTTGTGAAAATCTTAATATGGACAATTTAATTCTAAAAATGTGGATTGTGTTGCACATAATTCATGTGCAGAAAACAATACAAAATAACAAATTAGAAGGGATCATTTTAATAAAACACTGTGGCCCCAGTGAAAAAATTTTTTTTATGGTGTGGCAGTCAACATGTTAAACTGTAAATGACAGAACTGTTTGTGAAGGTGGCCTCCCAGGGCTTGCTTTGTTGGTCTGAGGAATCGACTTCAAAAGAGCAAGGGATGGAGGTGACTGCACACCAGTCCTTCTGCCCCAGGCAGGCCCCTGGGATTTGGCCTGCAGTAAGCAGAGGAGAACTTGACTTCTCTTCCACAGCCTCTGGCACAGAGAAGAAAGTGATCTGTAAGAGTGAAATTGCAAACAGTGGCTGGCTGGGTGCAGTGGCTCACCCCTGTCATCCCAGCACTTTGTGAGGCTGAAGTGGGAGGATTGCTTGAGCCCGGGAGTTCAAGACCCTTGCTTAAGCTCACACAGTTAACAAGCGCCAGAGCCACTGCTTTAGTCAGCTCGGGCTGCCATAAAGTATCATAGACTGCGTGACTTAAACAACAGACTTTTCTTTCTCACAGTTTTGGAGCCTGGGAAGTCCAAGATCAAGTGTTCCCTGACTTGGATTCCCCTGAGGGCCCCTTTCTCAGTGTGTCCACATGGAGTGCTCTAGGCTCATCCTCTTCTTCTAAGTGCTCTAGGCTCATCCTCTTCTTCTAAGGACACTAATCCTATTATGGGACTATTTTATGACCTCATCCTCATGACCTCATCTATATCTAATCACCTCCCAAAGGCCCCATCTCCAAATACCATCACACCAGGGGCTAGGGCTTTAATATAGGAATTTTGGAGGGGCATATTCGGTCCATAACAGCCACCTACTTTTTACCCACTACCTTACATCCCCTCTGTCAGGTGCAATAGCTGTACCACGGGAGTTGACCAAGACAACCCTTCTTGGAACACCATGGAGCTCATGGCAGCTCTGAAAATTCACACAGGAAAGCAAACTTGTACTTTGCATGGTGTTTCTGAACCTAATTTTTACTATAAAGCCCACTCTCCTGTTCCTTGAAACACAGTGTAGAAAATACTGTTATAACCCACTGGATCCAAAATCTCTCCAATATCGTGTGAATCTAGATGCTCCAGTCAGTGTGTGAGCATGTGCCTCTCTGCTGCCTATCTGTTCAGACCATATCCTGCAGCCAGCTGGCTTCAGCAACTCCTTACAGCACAGATTGTCCCATGTGTAATCTAAATCCTTTTCCCTTCCTTGTTATCTAAGTCATTTCTGCTTTCCTCATATTTATACATCTTACACTTAGATATGTACATTAGATATGTCTTGTACCTTAGATATCTCTTTTATGTGTAAAAAGGGCCAATTCTTTTGACCTTAGCCTATGTATTTGTCACCCTGGGCTGCCATAACAAAATACTACAGACTGAGTGGCTTCAACAACAGTTACTTTCTCACAGTTCTAAGGAGGCTGGAAGTCCAAGACGAAGGTGCTGGCAGGGTGGTTTTCTCCTGAGGCCTCCCTCCTTAGCTTGTAGACATCCATCTGCTTGCTGTGTCCTCACATAGTGTTATCTCTGTAAATCACACTCTGGTGTCTCTTCTTCTTATAGGGTCACTAATCTTACTGTGTCTCTATGACTTCATTTAACCTTAATGACTTCTTTAAAGGGCCTTTCTCTAAATATAGTCACACTGAGGGTTAGGGCTTCACATATGAATTTTATGGGGACACAATTCAGTCTGTGATAGGCTACAAAGGAGGTTTGAAGAAAATCTTGAACTTCTCAGAGGCCATCTCCCTCTACCCTTAAAAAAAAAAACTTACATTAACTTATAATCCCACTTCCAGGCCAGGTGATGTGAAAATATTAATAGATTGTTATATTTAGAAGAGTATATTGTGCACACTTATGTATATATACGCATATATAAAATACATAATAGATAACAGTATGTGTGTATACGTGCATGTTCGATATGTATGTTCAAATTCATTGTTTTAACCCATCTGAGAGGATGTGAGAGTAAAATGCCAGGCATGAGCTGGGACAAAGCTGGTGCTGAGACCATTTTCCATGGGCCGATGTCTGCAGGACAGGGGGTCCACAGTCCCCAGACACTGGGGAGGCCTGGGTGCCCCATTCAGGATTGGTGGAGAGGAAAAGGCTGTTGCAGTGTCCAGAAAGTTGTCAGAAAAGAGTCTTGGAAGTGGAAAGCTGGCTGGGGGTGGGGGTGGGGGTATGTGAGGCCCTTGCTGTGATGGCTGTGATGGGGCCTGTGTGCTGTCAGCCCTGGAGGCCTGTGGAGCTCAGGAGCCTGGGCTGTGGGGATGACCTCATTAGGGAGCACCCTGGGCCCCAGAAGTACAGGCTGGGCTTAAGGCACAGGCCAGGCAGCTTTCCTCACCCCAGGAGGTTAACAGGGGTGGTCATGAAGCAGGATGAAGGCCACAAGGAAGCCCTGGAGAAAGTCTGTTTTAGCGGGGAGAGAAAGAGAAGCCAGTCAGTGCACAGAGCTCAGGTAAAAGTCCCTCCTCCAAGGGGTAGCGGGTGGCCCTTAAGGTGAGTCATGCAGAGAAGAAGGACATTGCAGAAGAGGCCCTTTGGATGTGGCAGGTGGCCACATCTGAGTTCATGATGACCTTCAAGAGAGCAGCGTTGTGGCAGTGAAAGGAGACTAATGCATGCCGAGGGGGTGGAGCCATGCAGGTGGCATTGGAGGAAATGAGGCAGAGAAGGCAAGGAGGAGATGCACCTTGAGGATCTGTGTCCCATTAGTTGAGGGGAAAAACCTGGAGGGCAGGAGATTCAGAGAAGAGAGATCGTGCTTACTGGTACCAGTGCTTACAGAAGACTGGGCTGGCCTGGGAGGAGAAAAAACAGATCCAGGGAAGATTTGCTGAAAGTGAACATTGTCATTGTTGAGTTTACATTCACTCTAGCAAGGGGAAAGAGATAAGTAAATTACTATTATATTAGAATGTGATAAATACTATTAAAAAGATTAAAGCAGGGCTGGGTGAGGTGGCTCTTGCCTGTAATCCTAGCACTCTGGGAGGCCGAGGCCGGCAGATTGTTTGAGCTCAAGAGTTCGAGACCAGCCTGAGCAAGAGCTAGACCCGTCTCTACTAAAAAATATATAGAAAGAAATTAATTGGATAACTAATATATAATATTATAATATTTATACATATAATATATATATATATATATATATAAATTAGCCGGCATGGCGCATGCCTGTAGTTCCAGCTAACTCTGAGGCTGAGGAAGACGCGTGAGCCAGGATTTGAGTTCGAGGCTAGGTGACGCCAAGCACTTTACCTAGGGTGTGGAGGTGAGACTTGTCCTCACAAAAAAAAAAAGATTAAAGCAGGATGGTGGGATCAACAGTGTGGATTGTGGGGAGGAGGTACACTGCAATATAAAATAAGGGTGATCAGGGTGGGCCTACAAGAGAAGGTAAGATGTGAGCACAGACTTGAAGGAGGTGAAGGAGTTAGACAAGCAGATATGGGGGGGGGCGGCGGCGGACTATTGCAGTGAAGAGCTAGACAAAAAGCCCCAAGGCCTGAGGAGAATGTCCTCAAAAAGACGGCCTGGCCAGTGTGGTGGCAATTTTGTGAGGTAAACTAAATATATATAGAAAAAATTAGCCGGGCATGGTGGCACATGGCTGTAGTCCCAGCTACTCAGGAGGCTGAGGCAGGAGGATCGCTTGAGCCCAGGAGTTGGAGGTTGCTGTGAGCTAGGCTGACGCCACGGCACTCTAGCCCGGGCAACAGAGTGAGACTCTGTCTCAAAACAACAGATGGCCTGAGGAGAATGTCCTCAAAAAGATGGAGGTCAGAGAGGTAATGGGAGTGGAAAGCTACTCATGCCATTTTGGAGACCCTTGTAGGGACTTTGGCTTTTCTGTCAATCTGCTGAAGCAGAGGGGGAAACATTTCTTTTTTACCCTTTAAAAACTCCACAGCTTTTCCTGAATTGCCTGGCATTTCCACGCCCTCCTTTTCTCTCTTTTTCTATCCCTCCCTCTTTCCCTTCCCTCCCTCCCTTCTTTCCTCAGGAAGTAAATAAACGTGTTACTTTTATATACCCTAATCTCAGTGAGAAATCTCCCTCCAGCCAAGGCGGAGTCCCTACTGAGCTTCCTGGACTTTGGCTTTTGCTGAGTGAAGTAGAGAAGCTGTGGCGATTTTGTGAGTAAACCCATTTAAAATTTTAAAAGGATTACTGGTTGCCGTTTTAAAATACACTGAGGGGGCCTGGCGTGGTGGCTCAGGCCTGTCATCCCAGCACTTTGGGAGGCCGAGGCGGGAC